AGGCACCTCCGCTTGCTTTGCAGACGCCACGAGCGATAAGGCGAACTGGGCAGCCGACTGAGCGATCTCCATCCTCTGCTCACTATCGTCTCTACTGGCTTCCGTGAGTGAGCAGTCCAAGATGAGATGGCGTACAGGGCAGCAGTGTTTCGTCTTCAAGATCCGAAGTAGCACTGCAAGGAGAGAATCGGCATTCCTTTCTGGGTGTACACAGACTTTCCTGAGAGAGGGGAGCATAGACAGGACGACTTTCCAGGTTTTGTCGGGAAAGGGTAGCCACTTGCCGCCGTATACAGCGTCTAGTTCGTGAGTGGGCAATGCATTCAGGATGTCGACAATCGCCTTGCGAACTTGATGATGTGTCGTCTCGAAGATGTTGATCGACAAGTATGAGTCTTCGTTGTGGAATTCGTCAAACGTAGAGGCGTGCGGGTCGCCATGTGAGTAGATCGAGATGACCGTGTGCCGTAGGTCGTCGCGAACACGCCTGTTTTCGAGGAGGACAGCATATACGAGCACATGTGCATATCTCCGGCCAGATCGAGATAACGGAGCACGGGCAGAGGGAACGTAGATTGCAGTTCGTCTGCATGTTTGTTCTTCAGAGATGAGACATTGAGTTCCAGGATGACCAAGGCGGGGCACCGAGAAAGAACGTCTAAAGCATCGAGAGGATCGATGGGTGAAGAGGGTAGTCGAAGGCGAGTGAGGTTTGACAGAGACGACAAATGCACCGCCGCGTCCAGCTGAGAGAATTTGACCTCTAAAACCGACCACGTTGACGCTCCTCGGACGACGAGCTCGTTCACAAGTTGTTGTAGATCCAATAGTTCTGATTCTTCGCTTTCGATCGGATGAAAGTCGACTTTGAGTGTCTGAACCTGGGCGCAGGTGGAACGCCGGATAACGAGGTGTCGGAGGAAGCGTGTGACGTTGGCTGAAGAGCCACATCCTGTGATGCATAGAGATCGTATGCGCGACGGAAAACGAGAGACAATGCTCTCTTCCTCCTCAGACCAGGGACAGTATCTTTCGTTGCCGTAACCACGGAAGTTCAACTTGAGGTCCAGAGGGCGATTCTTCGAGCGCAAGAACTGTTCGCGAAGCTGATGAGGGCGCTTGTTCGCGCGAGTAGCATTGATGTATCCCCATAACGAGGCCGTCGAAAGGCCGACGTCCCTCCATCTCCGGCACACCAGCATGACTTTGGTCCATCTAAGACTGAAGAGACAGTGGGTGGACGATGCGTAGATGAAGAAGATCTCCGCCAAGATCTCAGCAGGTAGGGTGTAGACAGGAGACACGAGAGCATTCGATGTGTCTTCAGAGCAGTCGCGGTGAGGGACATTCGCTCTACTTCCGTCAAACTTCCGTCTCCAGTAGCTTGCCAAGTTCTTCAGGTTCAATGCATTTGAGAGTGAGTGCCCGCATCAGCGCAGGTAACGGGCTGCAAGACATGATCAGCGTATGCAGGGAGGGCTCGAAGTGGTATCAGATACACACTTATTGGTCGATACAAGAGATCTGAGCTCATGATGATTCATCTTATGGGAATAGCGACCCAGCGGGATGATGAACGAGTAAAGCAAGGACGCGCGTGCAGCCATCGGGAATTGATCGGTGATACTACGTCTTCGGATCACCGCTCCGATGCGCTGTCCGGTTTTATCGGGTTTGCGTCGACGCAACAGTGACCATTCCGCTGTACGGAGTAATAGTGCGCTGCATCAAGGTGCAGATACTGCATAACTGCATACTCAGTGAGGGTACGGTACTTATGGGGAAAGATGTGTAGGGTGCACATAGACAGGAAGACATGGGGCAGATGGCCCGGGCTGGGGAAACGACGATGGGGCCACCGGCGGCGAGCTTGTGTAAAAGAGAGTCGGGTGGTGGTACAGTGGATGTACAGGATCAGATTGGGGGCCTGAGTGCACGAGACTAGGTTGAAGCCCGTGCAGCTGAGTGTAAGATGGCGCGAATGGGGGTTGGTACGAAGGACGCGCGTGGAAGAGAGGCTGTACTCGAGGTGATTGGGGTAACATGCCACCCATATCATTCGGCTGCTCCCTCCTCTCATGGATTGAGAACCATGGATCGCGCAGGATATCCGCGGCACTTGGTCGTGACGTAGGGTCCAGAATGACGATTCGTTGCAGAAGAGCAACCAGTGCACTTGCATCTTCATCTGACACACATGTGCGACGGACAGATACCCAGTGTTTTTGCCACAGTCGCTGCGAAATCTCAGGTGTGACTTCTGTTCGATATTGATCATCAGCAAATCGTGAGCTTGGGGTAGTCATGAGGGATCTCACCGCTCGCGGCAGGAAAGTCAACTCCCGGATAAGACGTCTTCCATGCGCGGGGTATCGTGCCGACGAGTTTCAACGTCTCACGGAAGTCGGATCCATCGCGGATCAGGGTTGCTCCTCGGCTCATGATGCGAAATATCTGTGGGCAAACGTCAAAGGCCAATCGTCGGCTGGTTCGGCTAACACACACCATGAGACCAAGAGCCCAGATATCACTCGATGTATCCAGCATGACGTCTATATCGCTTTCGGAGGCCTCACAACGTATGGCCCACTCTGGAGGCAGTACGTCGTCGATAAACCCATTTGTGGCGTGCGACGATCGAGTAAGCCGCGCTAGTACCATCATTAGTTGCGTACAGTCGTCATCGGCCTACGACGCACCGTTGCCGAAGTCGAAGATCTTGACAAGGTGTTTGTGAGACGGAAGTTTGCTGGAGAGCTGCACGTAGTGCGAAGCTAAATCCACAGGAGCCACTTGATAGCGCGGAAAATGGCCGCGCGCACATAGCACATGAGCGTTCGGACTCTTCGCAAGCACGACGATGACATCGGGCATACATGAGCAAGCCGGCCGATATGGATCCCCGCCCCCATAGTCCTCATCTTTGAGAGATGGCATTTCGAGCCCGACATTTCGAATATGCAGGTCGCCATGAACAATGCCTGCATTGTGCATATGTGTCACTCCCTCTACTAACCCACGCACAATGGCTTTCAGATCAACAGATCCAGGCGGTAGTTGACGCAAAGTCGTATCGAGAGGAGATATAACGTCCGACACCGTCACTGTGTGAGTGCCGTTGGGTCCTGTGATAGAGAATGTTTCCGCAATAACAGGCAAATGTGGGGAGTGAGCCTTAGAGACAAGTTGTTCGATCACTTCGTCCTCGCCCTCATCTGCACATCCGGCCGCCCTTATGCGCAGAGAGTACCACTCGAGGGAGGCAAGGTTTTGGGCAAGCCATACAGTAGCAGATCCTCCCCACCCAAGTTTCTGGACGATATGATAACGAGTGTTTGCGCTGCAAATCACATCGCCTAGTAGCACGGGATGGAGTCCACCTGGCCTATATCGCAGTGTAGACTCAGGCGGATGCAACATGGAGTCGGGGCTAAACACGAAATCATCGTAGGCGAGGGAATCGAAGGACATGGTGGTGCTTGAGAAGCGACGATCCGTCGCGGGCCGCCTATATATTGTGCGCGTGCCAGCGTGGGAACTTGATTCTAAGGACAATGGACAATTTGCTTTTTTACACCTCCGAGGGCTTCTTCGTACGCACGCGAGGCGGTTTTGACTTGCACCATCGGCCGGTGAGGCTTTGCGCTGTAGATGCTTCTATACTACGTCCATGCGAAATCGAAACCCGTCGTTCAGGCTGCGGCGCATCTCTTCCAGCCACACGTCGCCGATCATCCCGTACGGAATGTCGCCGACTATCTCAAGCGTATCAAGCGGTAGTCCCACTTGCTTCGCCTTCTGAATGTACTGCAGGGCCTCCTCGAACGACAGGCGGGCGCGCTTGGCGTCCGCTTCGTGTGTCGAAGCAGTCTTCTCCGGCATCAGACGGAGGTCGAGTACTATATGGGCGACTGGACGTTGTTGACGATTCAAGAGGATGTTCAAGGCCAGCAGGAGATCCAGAGCTGCAGTCTCCGGTCGCACGGATACGACGCGGAGTGAGGGCAACGCGGACAGTAGTATGATCCATGACTTTAGGGCGACACGTGTCGCAAAGCGGCCGTCGAGGTGCGTCACGCATGTCATTGGCAATCCTTGAACGAGATCGTCCAACGTCAGGCTGATATCCGGACTGCGATGCCATAGATGCACGTCGAGGCATGGTGGTTCCTCGTTTCCGTTCGCGGTCTGTGACCGGCCCCGAAGGGCGTAGTAACCAGGATCGGTGTAGGCCCTGAAACACAGGACAGGGACAGGTCCGTCGAAGAGCTCTGTATTGATGAGCAACGAGCTTATTGTTGGCGTTTCCGTGCGAACGAAGTGGTTATTCAATGCCTGAATCAGATTCGTCTCCCTCAAGGTCTGCCAATTGGGCGCAAACAACAGCTTGATACCCACAGACCGCGGAAGCTGGAATGCTTGTATCATGAGAGCGCAGGCCTGCGGGTGGCCCTGGAGGCTGAGGGTCTGTAGGAGAGGAAGGGATGCACTCTCGCCAAAAGACGGCTGAGGCGGCAAGTGGCCACCCAAGTGGAGATTCAAGTCCTGCATATCAGGACAACGTTGAAGCGCATAAATTAGTTCCGGAAGAGCGTCCTGAGGAAGATCATGTCCCTCGCGCAATGATCCAAGGTGTAAACGTGACAAGTTGTGAAGCAACGATGGGTCAAAGGGCACGCCCTCGAGGCGCAGATGGCTCAAGCGAGGCAGCTTGGTCCTCAAAAGGGCGACCATGAGGTCGAGCTCGAAGTTGAGAGGTTCTTGTGAGGATAATATACTGAGGTGAGTTAACAAAGGGTAGGCGGGCAGGTTCATACGGCGAAGGAACTCTTGTAAGCTGCCGCCGCGCCAATGTATCGAGTTCAAGGTCAACTCCTTGACGTTCGCCACGTTCCATATCTCGCAACACGTATCTTGCAGAACCTCGACCGTGTGTGCGTGAAAGATGCCTCTGAGATGGAGAGGAGCATCGCCGGCGCGCCGTAGTTGTAAGCTAACGCGCGGGATGATCTGATGCGGAGGGCCGCTGAACTCGATGTAACTCCAAAGTGCGGGGGTCGAGACGGCTACATCGTGCCATCTACGGCATACGGACAGAAGGGTACTTGTCCATTCCAGGTGATAGAGCGCATTGATGCTGGGATGATGTGCGTAGAAGACGAAGATTTCTGACAAGAGTTCGGGAGGTAACTTCGCTATAAGCAAAGATCCTTCGTCGTGGTGTCCTTCGACTCCAGGTTCATGCAGAGACGGAGCATCCATGTCTATACGACGTTCGGCCCCGAGGGGATCGATGAAAGCGGGAAGCAAAACATCTCGTGGCCTCGCGCGTCAGTTCCGAGGCCACATCAGCGTTTGGACGTTGGACACGGGTCACACTTAGGGCTGTATACACCGTCCGCAGATGTTTTGAGACCGACAAGCAAGCCGAGGCAAACCGTCCGTATGAGCGTTAGAGTACTGCCAGCCTATTACCGCAGAGAACGAGACGGTGAACGGGAGTAGCATACATACGAACTTGGCCCTCGGCGACGCGACCAACGAATAGGGGCACAAGGATTCAGAAGACTGTCAACGCTTCGAACCTTCTGTTGTGGGCTGTCATTTAGCCTGCGTTACCCCGCACAATCATACGCCAATTGAGAGCGCGTAGCTCAAGCATTGCACCCAGGTCCGCTAGCTGCGTGATGACGATGGTGGGTGTGGCGCGAAGAGCGCATACGGTTGATCATGCGGGGAAATAAGCACACGAGTCGGAGGTCTCTTGACCTCTGGCCGTCAATCAGTCAACAACCACCATCTCTCCGACTCGGTACTTCGTCAGGCTGGCACGAACAACTTCGCTCAGCAATCTTCACTCTATACCACCACCATGTCTGCGACCAGCGCCTCTACCTCTTCTCCGGAGGTGACGCCCGCGACTTCTGTGACTTCGGCGCCCGACGCAGACGTGGACACTATAACAGAGGCCAAGGCAGCGCCTCCGAGCGTGAAGACACCTTATAAGGCTAAGGAGGCCCTTGACGACATTCCGGGAGTCGCATATGCTCTCGAGACGTTCCTCCAGAGCCGCATGGTAGAGTGCGAGGAGTACTGCCATGAAAGCGACCCAAAGAAGTGCGTGGCTCGGTCTCATACTTAGTGCACCTAGGCTGAACCGAGTGTACAGAGAGCGCTTGTACTTTGCAACGGGATATGGCCTCATACAGTGCGTAAAGGCCCTCATGTCGTACGAGGACGAGGTAAGTACCAAGCTTGAACGCGGCTTCGTGCGCGCGTGTACTGTCATTCATCTTTGACACTTTGCTCTAGGATCTCCTTGCGGCTATTGGACACACCAAACACGGAAACCACATCGCTCAGCAACATCGCAAGAAGTCCGCATCTCTCCCGTTTCGTCTTGCGGGCTATGTCACCGGCTCAGGACACGGCATTGGCCATATCATGGCCATGACCCCCGTCGAGCGCCATGCGGAGCTCGTGTACGCTGAGAGCCTCTTTGAGAAGGTCGGTTGTCTTCACCCTCTTGTTATGGCGACTGCGACGCTCGGTGTAACATGGAAGCCCCACGCGGACTTCTAGTCAGGGCGTAGACGCCCATCGTTCTTCTCAATCCTCCGCGTGATGAACTATGCGCTAACTCCATGCGTCGTAGGCTATCCTAGGAATCGTGTATTCTGGAGACTGGCTTGCGTTCATCAAGGAGGCGCTCAATATGCGCACGACCTTCAACACCTATCGCACCCTGGGCAAGTACGTCGAGCACATGGACGCAGAAGCAAAGAAGCGCGGAGAAGAGTTCGATGCTTCGCTCGACGAGCACTTCCGCTCAGGCGTCTACCTCGGAGTCGGCCTGAGTAACATCATCCTGTCGCTATTACCGGCACGAATCAACTCCATCATCGAACTCTTCGGCTATCGAGGTGACCGTAAGCTCGGACTAGACCTTCTCATGAAAGCCGGCGGCTGGACGAAAGATTCAAAGGAGCCTTCTGTATCAAGAGGTACATGAACGAACGTATGGTCGCGCTACCCATACTGACATGGTTCACAGAGGACGAAGGCGTACGAAGGAGCGTATGCGACATGGCGCTCATGATCTTCCATCTGGTGCTCTCGTCCTTCACGTCTGAAGGCGTGGACGTCTCAATGGCGGCGAAGATCATCGACTGGAACCTTAAGCGCTACCCCAACGGCGTCTTCTTCCTCTTCGGCGAGGGTCGCGTCTCACTTGTGCGCTCACAACCCCACAGGGCGATAGAGTGCTATGAACGTGCGGCAGCAGCGCAAAATCAGTACCGCAACCTGCACCATATCTCGTTCTGGGAGATCGCAACAGCACAGCTCTCACTCTGGGACATCCAGGCCAGCTTGGACAAGTGGCGCATCCTTGCGGAGGAGAGCACTTGGTCTAAAGCGATCTACACGTACGCCGTCGCAGCGTGTTTGTTGCAGCTGGGCGGCGCAGAAAACGAGAAGGAGGGTCTCGCGCTCATGGAGAAGGTGCCTGAAATGCGACAGCGCATCGCTGGCAAGTCCATCCCGCTTGAGGTAGGTCTCCATGTCCATGAAGCCGCGATTGATCCTAATCTCACTGTGACTCGCAGAAATTCGTGGCTCGAAAGGCCCGGAAAGCTCAAACGCAGAAGCGCTTAAGCATGCCTGCACTCGAGTTGGCGTGCATCTTCGGTGCGATAGCTCATGCGCCGCGTGAGATGATCCTCGAGCGCATGCTGCCAGTCGTGGAGGCTGCATTGGAGGAATTGGAAGCGTTCGAGAGCGATCCGGCCAAGCGCCCAGGCTACTGGGACGACTGGTGTCTCGCGCGATACCTGGAGGGTGTGTGCATGCGCTTCGTCGCGTATCCAGTACGTATCTGCATCTCGTGCCGTCTAATCTTTACTCAAGAGTCTTCAGGATGCGGATGCTGTCGTTGAACCCGCGGAGCAGCAGTCCGACCCGAGCGTGGCAGAGGCAGCGACCCGCGGACGGACCGCGTTGGAGGCGGTCTTCGCGAACGGCACGAAGATCGAACTCGATCATTACCTGGTGTACTTCGCGCACTTCGAGTACGGTCGACTGCTTGCGCGCGGCGGTGACAAGGTGAAGGCCAAGGAGCAGCTCGACGCGGTGTTCTCTGGTCGCCATCTGGAAGTCAACGCTGCTGGCAAGAAGGGGAAGTACTCTCTTGAGGTATACCATCATCCTCTCTGACTCATTTGAATTCAGCGCTGATGCGCTTTGTCACAGAATGCGTTGCATCTAAAGACACAAGCGGCGCTCGAGGCACTGCAGACCGGGAGGTTGTTATGAGCGTGCACGGACTTCGCAGATCCGCTCAGATGCTTGTTTTGACTTACAGTATCGCCCATCTTGCTCTGCTGCGGTAGACTCTACCCATTCTGCTCTATTCATTGTACATTATTACCGGCGTCCTGTATAAACTTACGCCCAATAAAGGGCGTTGTAACATTAAACCTTTCCCCGAGCCCTTTCGGCCGAAGGGGACCGTGATACATGAAATCTTATCGCGAGATCTTATCGCAAGCTCGTGCTCTTGCCTGGCTGTCGGCTGCTCTCACCTCTGACCATCATCAACCTCACACAGACCGCTTCCCCCACATGGATACTACCCATGATACTGTCTCTGATGGAGTTGAAGGCGCTACTCATGTCGCTGACGATGGACTGCGGTACGTTACCGTTGACGCTTCGCACGCGAATAGTCTGTTCATCGCTTGCTTCAGGCCCAACTCCGAGCGGCCTTCCTCCCCGGATTGCAATCCAGAGCCGGAAGTGCATTACAGGCGCAATATGTCTACCTCATCCGCCTGTCGTCTACCACCAGAGATCCTATCTCACATCTTCACGCTCGATGCTGAGAAGCACAAATCACTTTGGAGCTTGAAATGGACTCGTCTCATGCTAGTCTGTCGCCGCTTCAGAGAGATCGGCCTTCAACATTGCGAACTCTGGAGTTATATAACCCTGCGGATTACATCTGATTCCGACCACGATGGTCTCTTGGTTCGACGAGCGCGAGCGAAAGGAGACCCACTCACAATCAAAGTCCACTACGATCAAGCGATGGCGGACTATCTTGACGTGATGGGGGGTTCGTTCTGGGACTCCGGGGCATTGAAATGGCTGTCGATCAGCTTTGCGTCGCAGGCACCGTCGCCCAAGGAATTCATGCGTGACTTAACGGCACACGTCTATCCTGAAATGGAGTGCCTGTTTCTACATAACCTGGATCGTTCCCAGGCTACGAACTGTGAGGAGATCATTTCTTCATTCCTTACCGTGGCGACCGCGCCCAAATTGAGATCTCTCGGCCTACCCTTTGTACCTATGGGAATGGCCATAGATCTCCCCTCCCTCCGATCCTTCTCTATGTCGACAGTATCGCTAGATGAGCATGTCATCACGAATTTGGCCGCGTTTCTTCAGCGATGCCCTCGAACGAGGACGCTGTCTTTTAATCAATTGGACACTTCTTGGAACGGAGCGAACCTCAACGCCGTGCCAAGCCGTGTTGCCCTACCTGAATTCGAACACTTACACCATTTCGGTGGTCTACGGTTCGCGAATGCGCTTTTGGAAAGTCTCACGCTTCCCCGCGCGAACTCGATTCTTCTCCTCCTCAACTCTGTGGAATCACCACAAGAGATCAAGCGCCTCGCGGACAACGTGAAGGTCTATCTACACGACTCGGAGGAGGCCAGAGTAGCCGCACACGCGCTGCGGGTGCATAGAGGCAGCTTTTCGACCTATCCTCCCCCTGGATTTGGCGATAAGTTACCGACCATGAGCCTTATGACGGGCGGCATGTTCGGGTCGGAGAGCGGCCAGCGGACCGTTTCCATTATGCTACCCGCCTTCTTAATCGCAGGAAACCTTGCGGAGGTCGACGTCCGCTTCAGAGGCGACCGTGACTACGAAGACCCACCTATGGGAGTCCCGAGTAACCTGGGCACTCCAGGTCGTGCTATACTCTTGGTTCGAGCCGAAGAGTCCGCGCAATGGACTCTCGACGTCCTGCAGAAGCTTTTACGAGTCGAAACGCGCACGCGGATCACCGGGATCTGCGTCGACCTGCTGATGTGGGAGGATCACGACCGTAAGGATATCAGGAAGGTCATCAAGCGCCTTTGCGAGTTCGTGTATAGTGCGAAGGACGCTGGGAAGGCGATTGAGGTCGTCGAGTTCATATGCGGCGATGCGCCTGATAATGTTCTGAGGCTTATACCGTCGAAGACATTGGAGAAGCTTGTGACGCTGAAGGTTCAGACAGACGAAGATACGTATAGTTCGGCCTCGGACGAAGGATACGAGGTGTAGCACCACCATGACATCCTCATTCGTGACTCTCCCCATCTTTGAGCTTCTTGTATTGGCTGTGGTAACCTGTGCGATGATTCTGTACTGGCACTGTACTAGCCACAACTTGTATTGGAAAACTTGTCATGAATCACGCTCCATCACGATTCATGAATACAGCTTTGTTCCTTTATTTGATCACAGGATTACCCTGTCGTTACATGACATCCGCGAGTTGCGTCTTTGGAATAGCCGCAGGGAAAGCGAGGCGATCGAGGCGTGTGTGAGTAGCCTGCTCGTACGCGAAGGCGTAGGTAATGAGCTCGAACTCGCTAAACGCAGTTCCCATGAACGCGAGTCCAAACGGAAGCCCTGGTGCACGCTCAATGACCGGGTTAGCTGCGGATGCAGTAACATTGTCAGGCTGGAACCCGAGGGGAACGGTGACTGAACGAGAGTCAGTATGAGGGAATACTTGCAGATGCATCTGATTGACGCACCGATAGGATAACCAGCGATGGCAGCGGGGCCCGAGGTGAAGCCTGATAAGGCACTATGTTAGAAGACGTAAGGTTGGAGAGCCCAGGGACGCTGACCATCTGTGGGGAGCAAGATGGCGTCGAGGTTGAACTTCTTGAGCGTCCCGTCTATGCCTCGCGTACGCCCGAGATCGGCGTCAGCGGCAAGAGCAGCAAAGAACGCGGCATCAACGGTGGTGTTTTCCGATTCGATGAACCTGCAAACGAGGGGGAGTGAGTCCGGCGCCAGAGAGCCGGCTGCAGAGAACATACTCGGACTGATCCGTGAAGAAGGGTGGTACAAGCTCCTCGCTGGCATGTGCGATGTTGAAGGCGATGAGGTCCGCGAGATCGGTAACGTTCGTAGGCACTTCAAGTAGACCATCAATATAGTTCTTGACGTCGACCTTGAAGTCGGTGTCCAGCACGATCGTCTCGTTATTACTCGCCAGGAGCTCCTCGGCGTCAGGGAATTCAGCAGGATCAATGACCGTGGCGCCGAGTGCGCGGATGATGCGGATGGACGCGTTAAATGCAGCCATGATGTTTTGATCGTTGCTGCCAAATAGGCGCGGGACGCCCAGTCGCACGCCCCGGAGACCGTTCGGGACGAGCGCTTTTGTGAAGTCCGGTACATGCGCGGGCTGTGCGAGTGTGAAGTTGTCGAGGGGATCGCGACCGGCGATGACAGTGAGGATGGCAGCCGCATCGGCTACTGAGCGCGCCATGGGACCGACGGTGTCCTGGTGTACCGAGATTGGGACAACTGCACAGATGTGGCATCAGTTTCCAGACTTCAACCATTGTTTGATGCGGTATATGCGTACCTCCTGCCCGTGAGGTCAGGCCGACGGTTGGCTTGATGCCCACAAGGTTGTTCCTGCTGCTGGGACTGACAATGGAACCATCCGTTTCGCTACCGAGGGCAGCAGCCGCAAGGCCAATGGAAGACGAGATACCGCTGCCGGAGCTCGAGCCGCTGGGATCCGCGCCAGGGAAGTACGCGCAGGTCGCCTGTCCGCCGCGACCAGACCATCCAGACGCGAGGTTGCCTCGGAAGTGTGCCCATTCGGACAGGTTGGCCTTTCCCAGAAGGATTGCACCAGCAGCGCGCAACTTGGCCGCAACCGTTGCGTCGCGCGGTACAATCGAACCGAGGAGGGCGAAAGAGCCTGTGACAGATGAGTCAGAGAAGATCGCCGACGACGAGGTTCACGGTTCTGAGCGCACCAGCTGTTGTGTTCATGCCATCAGACGCCCGAGTAGCGATGTTGTCCTTCAAGATAATGGGGATCCCGTGTAGAGGGCCTCGTGGACCAGACGTGGAGCGCTCTTTGTCGAGCGCTTCCGCCTGAGCAAGGGCGGAGGGGTTCATCTCGATGACAGCGCGCAGAGTGGGTCCCTGTAGGTTCACCTCATCAATACGGGCGAAGTATGCCTGTAGGTACGATGTCAGTACAGCAAACAAGACTTGAGCGAACGGGCTTTCATACCTTGACGAGATCGACACTCGTGAACTGCCTCTTCTCCAGACCCTCCTGTAGTTCTGCGATTGAAGCCTCATAGAGGTCAGGAAGCGAAGCTCGGGCGAGGTTTTGGGGTAGCGCCCAGGCAACCGCGTTGAGCAGACAGAGCGCTAACACAAAGATGAACCGGAGCGGCGTTGCCATCCTGCTCTCCCCGCAATTCAGAGCGTCGTAAGGCAACGGTGAGGCAAGTACCTCACAGAGTTGCCAGTATAAAAGCGGTCATCGTTATCGTGAGGTCGATATGCGGTCCTGTACTCGGCCATTTATTCTCACTGGGTGGATACGAGGCGCGCTCAAGCGAATATCTATAGAGAAGAGAGAAGACCTGATGGTACCAAACCCGGACATGTCCGCGCACACGCGCATGCGCATAACGTATAGCTATGTGAGCGTCCTTGGGTTGGGCTTCGCATGCCAATACAATTATCTGCCTGGTGGTGGCTGTCGGAAGGCAACGAATGGGCCGACGCGAAGCCGCAAGCAATCCTAGGTTCCCGCGGCTCCGCTCCTCCGGCAAACGCCACACGTCCGAGTCGGGCTTGTCATCGCCCACCATGACATGCTCGCCTGACCACAAACATTCCACTACCAGAATCACGACGATTATCCTTCTGCACCCGTCCGGTCTACCGTGATGATCAAGTCGAACTATCGACGTCGCCTCGGATATCCGAGTAAATGATCTATCACAGGCAGCATGTACGCCATATATGTAGGCGCGCTCGTATTGCGGCGCGCTACCAACTTGAACTATGACCACCATTACCGACGATCAGCTATTCAAGAACGCCGCGCGCGCCAAGGGTCGCGTCGTTGTGATTACTGGCGGCGCGAATGGCATTGGGAAAGAAACCGCATTGACGTTTGGGAAGCATGGGTGCGTTCATCAACTGGACGGTGTACGGGGAGACACGCTGACGCTTCTGACCAGTGCGAAAGTGGTAGTGGGAGATCTGGACATATCCGGAGGGAAGGCCGTCGTTGCCGAAATCAAGAAGCAGGGCGGGTACGTTCTTGTCGCCGACTTACTACGTGCCAGGAACTCACTCTTTGACAGCGATGCGGTCTTCTCGCGTTGCGATGTGCTGAATTGGGAAAACCAAGTCGCGCTGTTTGATTTGGCCATCTCGAGCTTCGGCTCTGTGGACATAGTGGTATGTGTTCTTTTACCTGACAGGTGTCAGACCACGACTCACTATGTGTAGTGCGCCATCGCAGGTCTGACTGAGATCGGGAACACCGCCCAAGGCTCGTTGACCTTCGAGAATGGGAAACCCCAGCCACCACCATTGAAGACCCTGCAAGTGAACCTCGTCGGAGTATTCTACAGTGAGCATCCTGGCCCTGTCGCTGGCCGCACCGTCGCCTCAATTCATCATAGCTTGTCATCTTGCCGCATACCATCTACAACAGCACAGGACAGCCGACGATTGCAAAGCTCTTATTCTGATGGGCTCAATGTGTACGTTTATCTGTGAGTCTACCACGATTCATCTACTCAACGATCAACAGCATCGTGGCAATCCATTCCCAAAGGACCAGAGTACAGTGCATCAAAGCACGGCGTCCTTGGCCTGATGCGTAGCCTGAACCAGACTCTGTCGCCCGAGCGTATCCGCACAGCAGTCATACATCCGTGGTTTGCCGGTTCGTACTCGCTTCTCACTCGTTCGCCCCTTGCTGATGATGCGCCGCAGACACTGCCATCGTACCTACTATCGTGAAGGTGGCTCTAGCAGGCATACCTTTGACACCGGTATCTCGCATTGCTGGCGCTGTATTCTACTCAGCGTTGGATACCGACGCGTCTAGTGACGGTTGTCCATGGCTATTACCTGACGAGGGCCCTGTCTTCCTTCTACCCCAGGACAAGCTCACGACGGGCGTGTATGGTCTGATCAACGCTCGTGCTGACCGTGCCAAGGGGTGCGTCTGACTTTCTCTGTCTACTGTTTGACTACGTCTGACCATCTCGTAGGCTCGTGCAGGGCGTGAAGCTGACCGCAGCATTCTTCCGGGACATCGCTCGTATTATTGGGCCCATACGATTGCTGATTGCTGTGGCGGCGGCAGCTAGTGTTGCCTATACTCGTGCTTAGAGTGTTCTCGCTCATTTATCAACGAATCCTACGGCGCTCTCGTCAGGTCAATTAGTGTATACTTACCGCTTGCGCTGATCGATACCATGTCGATTGAGAGTTCACGTTCATTACGATCTCTGAACCAATCGACAATGCTTCATTCACCATCACCGAAGTCACCACAAAGCGCACTCATGGAATGAGATGGTTTCTGTGAGCGAGCATGTATGATACCAGTCGGGAAGGTATAGTTGTACTTGCATACTACATATTGGGGACCGACGCCTTCGGCGCCATGACAGTGCGACACCAGGACCTCTCCTGTATTTATTCGAGTGTGAACCAAGCGTCTTCGAGAATCTCTGCTGCACTAGGACGCTCATCCGGATCAAGCACAAGGATACGTTGCAGCAATGAGATCAACATCTCCATATCTGCGTCGGACACGCAGTTGGGCCTGAAATACTGACGATATTGGTCCCATGTCTGTGCACAAGTGTCTGGGGAAACGTCTGCATTGTATCAGTGCGCGATCGATTGCTCATAATGGAAACCCAACTTACCGTTCACGAGCCTGGGGTCGTTTGCCCACTCGTGAATCCTCTTCCACACCTCTGGTATACGGCCAGAGAGTCTCGCCATCGGGATAAATGACGAGAACCCTTCGATCGCGGCGTATGGATATGCCCCACCGCTCAATATGGCAAAGAGCTGGAGGGAACAAGATCTTATCAACAGCATTCCTCACTAGAGCGCTGCGTGCCGCCGCTGAAACCCAGCTTGAGCACCATCGTCTGGTAATCAGCTCCAACTTAGCTGCAACTGAGCTTTAGGCTGCAGCGGTATGTCGTTTCTAGTAAAAAGTTGGGCGTCAAGAACGGCTCGCTGCCTCCGGATCCGCGTGCGCTTCATGTACACACCTCAACATATACCCATCCTAGGGCAGTTTCGAGCAAGCTCGTTGCGTCACTACGTCAGACGCCCATCTATGCAGAGGTATAGTGTAGCTAGGACCGACAGCGCTTCTTAGAGCAGGTACTTGTGCGAATATGCTGCGCGCTGTCAGTCTGATGGCATCACGACGCGTCTCGGCAGAGCCCGGTCAGTCGGTGCCTGGCGACAATTTCGAGGTTGAGAAACCCAGTCAAGCTGGGTAATAGAAAGGCCAGTGTGCTCACCATCAGACCAAGCGCCCAAATGTCACTTGCAATATTCGGCGTTTCAAGCGCGCCCGGACCCTTGATATAACACTCGGGGGGGACGATCTGGTACATGAAGCCCGAATTAGGATGCGGCTTATTGGTAAGATGCGCTGTCAGAGCGTCAGCGGCGATATTTGCGTGCCCGTGTCAAAAAGCACGCACCTGATCCGAAGTCGAAGATTTTGACTACCGGTGACACCTGCTTGCCTCCAATTGCTTGAATATAGTTATAGAAGTTCCAGCCATGAGTGATGTACGGAGGGAAGTGGGCAGATAATGCAGCATGGGCAGGCTGAACTGGAAGGACCACGGTGACATCGGGGCAGACACGGATGTACTCTTTGTCGTGTCTGTCAGTAAGCGCGGGGATAGCTAGGCCGACATTCCCGGCATGCAGATCGCCGTGAACGATCCCTTTCGAGTGTAGATCCACTACGGCCTCAACCAGGCTGTGAGCAATGTATTTCCTCATCATCGGAGAGCGACGGGCCTGAGTAGCTGCTGGTGTGGCGACGGGCACCGTATGAGAGTTCGAGCCATCCGAGCCACCGTGGCACGGGGTAGTAGTCATGTCAGGCAAAAACGGCAGTGCGTTGGAGATAGGTGCTAGGACTTAGAGCTCTGTGAGTTCCATTGGGGCCATTGATGTGAAACCGGTCAAAAACGATGGGAAAATGCGTCGCAGGTGAATCTGCACAAATCTCGTCTAGCACTTCCTCTTCGCCTTCCGAAAGGAGCTCAGCTTTGGTTACGCGCAAGGCACTACATCCATGTCTATTCAAATCCTCGACCAGCCAAACGATGCTGTTTCCTCCTTGACCAAGCTTCTGTACAACACGGTATTGTGCCTTCGAGCCCGATATGATCATGCCAATGATGATGGGGTGAAAGCCGCCGGGTCGGTATGCTTCGATGGGCTCGCCTGAGGTCATAGCACCGTCCGGAGAGAATGCGAAGTCCCAGTGCCCTAGTCGAGGAAACTCCATGGCGAAAGACGGAGATGGCGGTTCGCGGACGAACGTCAGGTAAACATTTGGATGTTCCGGCAAGCGGTCCGAAATTGCCGAGGTTGCATGCTACCGGCCTGGCACCTAGTCTGGTGACCGACTACAAGAAGAGTGACGGAGGCAAGCTCGAGTACTCTTCGTTGTAGTCTGGTTCAAACCGTTTGGGAATGGCAGGACCGTCGCAATGACGTCGTGCGTCGCGAGCCTTTATTGCTTTGGGACGCGTAAGAACACGTGAGATGGGGAGAACGCGTTGACGCGTCGGGCGTCGGGTGTCGCACACTGTCGCGTCTTGCGTCTTACGTCCCGCCTTGACAACGTCCGGGTTCCTTATACCATGCAACGGCTATACACACACTTCCTTGAGCAATCATGAACTTCCCGTCTCTCCAGCCCTCCTGCTGAGCTACCATCGCAACACGCGAGGCACCCGAACGGATCTCCAGCAGACCAACACACTGAGGAAGTCGGCGCGAGACCCAAAACAACAACACTGCCCCGCGGCTGATGTTGAGCGGAGAATGTTCCCACGATCCCGTGGTCTTAGAAATCCCAAAGCGGTATAGCTCACCGCGCGCGACGTCATTGCGACGCGCCCGCCAATTCCCAAACGAGTTGGACCAGACTACCTGGCACCGGCGCGTCTTCACTAGCTTGGAGAGGACAATCATCTCGTTCTGGCGACCGCGCTTTCTTCGTCGTTCATCACAATCAATCACTGTACCAACCAACTCATTTGCCTGGGGAAATGGATTGAACATCCCATCGCAAAAGACCAATCACATCGCGTCGATATTGACTCTCACGCCAGCTCAGACCCAGTCTCGCTCGCAGCACTAACTTGCGCGCACCAAGCGAACTCGTCGATGGTCTGCACAAGGGCGAGGCACTCACACGTGCTGTAGCTGAGCATCTGACCCACCACGGGTGCTCAAGCGCTCATATCCAACCTTGTCGCACCGCGATAATACCTTGTTCCGCGCCGTATGCTGCACCTTCATCTCTTTTAGGAAAACTGAGACTCTTCTATGCCCAGGAACTTCGCAGCGATTTGCGCTCTTCTACGACGAATCTACGTATGAGAATGTAGGTTCCTCTGCAATTCAGTCCTCTGCTCGTTTTGTAACACGTCTTCCAGTACAGTTCAACCCACGTCCCATGGTCAAGGCCTACAAGCC